TCTGTAGAAAGGGCGCGTTCTGATTGGTCGAGGAGTGAAGGGAGGGGATGATAGGGTAATTAAATGGTGTGTTCTGATTGGTTCGCCCTATACTCGTCCAAGATTTGATTGGTTCGCTTCATACCTACACAAAAGGTGATTGGAGAGGGTGGGTGGTAGAGGGTCTTAGACAAAATGGAGGTTTGAAAAATGGTGAGTGGAAATTGGGACTGCAGCATTCTTTTGTCGCGAGGCTAGAGTACGAACAGTGGGGGATGAATAGCGGTCGAATTTTATGACGGTCGTTTTTGTTGTCGCAGGGAAACGTCTCCGACGTGTTCAGTGAATGTTATTAATGTATGAGAAAGGAGATCTTATACGAAAATTTGCGAGCCTAAAGAGAAACTTGCTTTGTTCGGAAGAATTTTGGGAAGGTAAAACGAACATGTTTAGCTGTTGCGGCGCGTCGTCTTCGAGCATTGCTTTAAAAAATTCTTTCTATATTTTGTGTATTTAATGTTATTATCTGAGTCTGTAATACGGGGGAAAATGTATCTATTGTAAATGAGGGTGAAGGGATAGAAGTAAGAAACAAGGCAATATTTACAAGTTCAAAAACGTTTATTTAAAAAAGATATTACATGAAATAGTTATTTTATTTTTTTAAAAGAGTACATGTGTGAACATGACGGCATACAGCATGAGAATTTACGAGTTTATGTTTACAATGAAAAAAAATTTTATGAAATAACTGTACAATCAATCGATCATTTCGCTTACAATCAGAAGTAATCAGATCAAGAAACTGATTAAGATTATAGCCATTACAAATAATATAGAAATACACAGCAGTATTGTCCGCAAGTTTGAGAAAGTATTCCTTGCAGCGTTGTCGTATTCCAGCGATACGGGGTGGTGTTTCGTCGAAGTCGTAAGAGGAATCTTGGACCCAAGGGCGGCAAGCCGTAGCTACCGAAATACGTTCCTGTCCCGCATTCATCGATTTAGAAGGTGACCCAGTGTTGCCCGGATCGATCGTGATCGTCCGTGTTAGCGACAATGGCGATCGACCTCATCCACTCCCTCGGCAGGATAGACTCGATCGGCAGGATAGACTCTCGCATGTCGTACACGGAGATGATGTAATGCGTTTAAAACTTCCAGCGAATTCATTTCTCGTCGTCGGAGAGCGTGAGAGAGGAAATGTTTGCGTAAATTCAAAATGTACCTCTTTTACTGGCGTATGCAGTGTGGAGCTCCTTAAAATGCTCGATGCTTGCGAGACGTTGGTGTTAGCTTTACCTCTATCGATCCACGAGTCGAATTTTGAGAGATCTTTTTTCTCCTCGTCTGTCATTTGTTTGTCCGCGCTTTGATTCGTATTTTTCATCGCGATATTTTTCCTCCACGCTTCAAGGTTGCGAGCGATATCGTGTTTCTGATTTTTAAATTGAATTGAAGAATTCTCGCTGTCGGTTTTTTCGTTCTCGACGACGCTCTCGCTCCAATTTTCCAAGGAAATTCAAGTTATCATATAACTTGAATTATTGCTATGTCGTATAGTTAGCCAGCGTTTCAATTTGTAAGCGTTGCGTAAGGCGCAGCGTGATTCGGCGCTGGTTCGAAATCCGTGATGCGTGCAGCGTTGTCCACGGTCTTCGAAATCTGGTAGATTTTTGAAAGCCGGAGAAATTCCGTCCAGATTATATACGTTTCTAGAAAGTAGATTGCTCAGATAACGAGCCTTCTCTTGTCCTCTGGTATAGATGTAGCGAGCGTGTCGTGTAATGTCACGCAGATGTATCGTAAAGTTTTTTGGATTGACGTTTCCATCGAACCATTCTATTCCATGATAATTTCGTGTAAGCCAGTTGTTTTCTCGTTTTGCTCTCACGGGTAAATCTTCAAATGGACAGGGTGACGTCATAATCCAGTGTCCGGTGATCGCAGCGTTAATCGCTAGAACCGCGACTTCTTTCGGAATAAAGTTTTCTTCGGCATCGCGAAAACCTTGTATGTCGATGACCATATCCATTATGATATTATATTCGAATTTTCACTACTCTTTTTTACGTCACGAAACGTTGGCGTTGGTGTCGCGAACAAGACTGAAGCTTTTTCGTATTCTCGCGTCCAATTAGATGAGAAAACATGTGTAGTAGGGGGAAAATAATTTTCTTGCGAAAGCCGTAGGACTAATCGGAAAAGTCGACAATAACTTGACACGAGGAGTCGATTTTTAAAACGTTATCAAACTCGGCATAGACGATACAATTAATAATCACAGAAAGAGCTTTTTCGAATCTCATTTCTAATCGTAAGCTTCCGTGTTTTACGAGATACCAATGTCCCGCAACTAGCGGATAGATCGGGAGTAAGATCGAAAGCGAAAAGAGTGTAGCCGTTGGCGTAATCGTCTCTACTTATAGAATTACCCTCGTTCAGAAAGTGAATGCCGGTTCCCGAGAATAATGTGTGATAAGCTTCAACGTAGAGCGGATCGTTTTTCGAAAAATTTGGTTGTATCGGTCTACTCGGAATTTGCATGCCATCGACATACAGTGAAAAGAAATTTATTCCGTAATTTTTGAAATTAAACGGGTTTAATTTTTTATCACCGTTAAACGCTTTGTTATCGACAAAGCCGACTATTATTCGTTTTGGTAGCTGTCCGAGTATTGCGTTGTCTATCGATTCCCCCACGACGCCGGCGTGTATCATGAATGTTTTAACTTCGACCCTCGTAAGGGGATACTTGGCGGTAGTTTTACTTCAGCATTCTGGCGTATGTGAGAAGCACGCCCGGGCTAATTTTTGCTCTTCTTACGAGTAGACTGGCGTCAAGAATGCGTATTTTTGATAGCGTTTTACTCTCCATAAGACAAAATGAATTTTTCGAGCGTACGAGTCTCATTCTAACCTCCACTCCATTAATTAAAAATTTATCTTGATTGAAAACGTCGCAATGAAATGACCAATGAGATCTAGCGCGCGATTTGCTCGAATGTATTGCGCGCGTCTCTCGAGCGCTGTATTTGGATTTGATGCGTCTAACGTTCATGTAACCAGGGATATCCGCGTCTCATAAGCAAGAGGTTAGAGGGGAGGTTTTTGCGGGTGAAGCATAATTTAATAACGCCTCGATGTACGCGCAGTACGCGTAAGCGTTATTTGGTGGCGATACGAGCTTTTGATTGAAATATATGTCGATTTGGTTGAACATGGAATGCAATAAATGATTTACGGGGCCTACTTCTGCCCCGCCGTCGGGTGCGACCGACGTGCTCTCTCTGCACTCGCTTTCTACGCGTATGCGAAGGCTCAACATGGTGTGAGTGAGGTCCAGATAGTCTTCTCCATGCGGGGTATGACGAATTCTATGAGCGAGTCGTCTGCGAACGGGTTTGTAATAAATCCATTGCGAACTCTCAATGCTGGTTTGCGTAGGTGGCAGAGAGAAGAGATCGAGTTCGCTCTTCATACACTCGCTCGAGTGGGTATGAAAAAAGGACATGCTCTTCTCCAGCAGCGAAATCGTATCTCAATTAAGAGAATATGTCGCGTTTCTTGCCACGATGTTTCCTAGCGGATGGTTTTTTAGTTTTTCTTCCAGCAGCACGAATTTTCTTTTTCTTTGTCACTTTTTTGCTTTTCTTCCCTATGGTACTTCTCAATGATTTTCTTTTGACCCCCCGACGCCGTTTACAATGCGCGATACGTCTATTTCGATCACCGAGTGGAAACTGAAGCGCCGCGGATTTCGTGGATATTTTATATCCAGATCCCCTCATCAGGGAGCTTATTTTTTCTTTGGATTTTCTCTTCAGATTACCCCTCGATTCCGCGAGCCGACTTTGACCGCTTCCTTTAACGGTTTATTATTTTCAACGTCTTCTATCACGTTAATTCCAGCGCGTAAAGCTTCTTTTCTTACAGCACGCGCATTTTTATTATATTTAGAAAAGATAGTGGTTTTTTCTGAATAACTCACCGAGAAAGCTTCGGATTCCATGCCCGTGCTGATAGGGTGATCCGACGAAAACACGTGGAATTCCACCTCTGCTACCAGTATCCCACGCATCAAAATACTCCTCATATTCCATTGCGAGTTGTTAACTATAGACTAGCGTTACCTTCACGCTCGCGCATACGAAAGAAAGTTATTGCTTACGTTTAAAGTGCAGTGTCACAGTCAGCGTACCGAATTCGAATGGAATTTTATTTCCAAGATGATCTCTTATATCTATTTCGATCGTTCTGAAATTTGTTCGCTGCAAGGGGATATAATTTGGAAATGAGAAATGTTTCACCAAATTTGCACCAAATGCATAATTACTGCGTATCTCGAGCGGTACTATTCTGAGAAGAGGAATTACACATCGCCTGTTATATAAGGCGCACAAATATCGCAATATATGAACATTTTATCAGGGATAGCACGCCATAAACTATAGGGTTCGACACTCCAATAACCGACTGTACGTGATTGCCCCGTCTTCTTATTAAATCCATGAGTAAGAAAAATTTTCTCTTCTGTCTCATTGGAATTAGATTTACGTATCGAGAGCCTGGAATGCAATTCATTTTTATTAGAAATTGCTATTGAGAAACCTAGCATTCGTAGAAGATTATCGGAAAAGTTTATATTATGTAGCATTTTGCATTTTTCGTCGCAGTTAATAATAAATTATGTTGACTTTGCCGCCAGACGCTCTTTGCTGTTCGAAATAAAAATGCGATTCGACATTTTTACACGCGATATTAATCGCCTCAATAAGCTCGTGGATATCGTTGTAAATTCCATTTGGAAATGAAGCTTCTTTTGCCGTAAACGGGCCATTCGTCTCCTCATCGGGTTTAACGTCGACGAATCTGATCACATTTTCGTTATGACGTACGTGTAAAAAGGAAATTGAATCTCACTTATCGCAACCTCCTATTCTCCATGCAACACTATAGAATAAAGTAATTCCATGATGAAGGACGACGTTGTATTATTAGGAAAATGGTGCATACTACTGTTACTCAGAAGTACCAGAAGAAATTGTTCCTCCTCCATCGCGAAGAGAAATTAAACTCGATGTCGGAATCCAGGTATCAATCTTACTGAAGGGGATAACCAGCCAGCTAACTAGCACTTGCTTATTAGCCCCTCGCCCTCTACTCTTTATCACACGATCAACAATAAATTGTTCTTCCTCTAGGTTCTTCTCAACTCGTGCTAATTCTTGCTCATAAAAAATACCGTCTATGACTTCGTCTGCTAAATCTCGCAGCTCGTACACGTGAGGATTTCGCCAATCGAGAATACGATAAATTTGCAATATTTCCTCGCTCCATTTAGCCTCGTAATCTTTCTTGAAGGCTGCTTTCGCCCTACTGATACGAACGAGATCTCCAACGCGATATTTAATCTTTTGCGTTCGTTTCTTTAATATGTTGTTTTTCCAACGACGTGATATATTTTCACGTGCGATACGAGCGTTTTCTCTCGTTACTACCGCAGGTTGCATTCTCATGGACGAGTGACGCGTGTGATTGTAAGCACGTACGCCCTATAGAACATCGACGTAGCGTCGCGTATTTTTATGCGTGAAATAACGCCACATTCGCTTCTTCAGTGTTGAAGCGCTCAACAACGGCGGCTTTAATGTCCGGATTGCATGTTACTCGGAAACGAATATCGTTTTCTTTAAGGAATTTTTGCATTAGGTGCGCGACAAATTCTTTACCCTTGTCCGTTTGTAAGTATACAGGTACTCGTCCTTCGCTTTTTGCTAGTACGCGTTGAAAAGCTTTTATCACACTGTTGCTCGTTTTGTCACGTAGCGGTTCTACCCAGACATATTTGCTTAATACATCGATAATTACTAACAGATAGGAATAACCGTCGTTGTAACTTTTTAGATTTCGGAGTTCGATCAAATCTGCCTCCCACACATCGTCAATGTTTGTCACGTTGTAATGCAATCGCGGAAATTTTCTGTGCAATGACCTGTGCAACGTGTACGTGTCTTGCAATTCGAGCCAGCGTATGACCTCTCCCCGTGAGAAATTCGGTTTAACAGCGCGAGTTAGATTATCCACCGTCGAATAACTCGCATAATTCGACGGATCGTAGTATAGTTTTTCAAACGTCATCGTTATCTCAATTTTTTCCAACCGATACGGAGGTATCAGTTTTTCATGCGCGAGAAAGAATCAGCGAGCTTTCCTCGTTTATTTCTTGTTCGTAATTTTTATGTTTTTCTCCTTCCTCGGGCTCTCGATACAATCGACGTGGAACTCGCTCTTTCGATGTAACAGGCGTGGAACTCGCGCGCGGTCGAAGTTGTACAATGTTTACAGCATCAGCGTGCGCGGACAATAAACTTTTATTTCTCACCAGTGCAGAAGGTATGTTCAACACACAGAGTAATCGTGCAAACTGATTTCTACCCACTGCTTTAACGGTTTTTCTCTCGCTTCGTTTATTAAGACTGCGATATTCGAATCTTTCACGACGTTACCATCTATAGTCACGATTCCGTGCTCGTCCAAACTAAGTTTATCGGGCACAGCTTTTTGAAGCAAATGTTTCATCAGTAAGTGTGCATGCTTACGATAAGATTTCGGTACTCTTTCCAGTATTTCCTCGATGCTTTTCATCATATGATTATGCTCGCTCGAAATTTCGAAATTTTTCGCTGTAATATCTGTGTTACTATTGGAATGTAATGGCGATGGTATATCGGATGTTTGCGTGAGATCGTGAAAAACGTCATCGTTCGTCGTCTCGTTATCATCGGAGGCATCTCGTGTAGCGTTGTTGTTTGCATTTTCGTTTTCGTTACGTACGATTTTCTTTCTGTCTTCGCGTTTCTCGGATAAACCGTAGGTATTTCCATAATGCCTCTCAATAATTAGCGATAATAAGGTCGATAATATAGGTCCGATAATAATGGGTAAAAATCCGCCTCGCTGCACCAACAGCTTTTTTCTATTCTTCCAATTACCGCGTTTTGCAACAACGCGGCGCAGCTTTTTTGTATTTGGTTAACCGGTTTTTTCCACTCCGTTCGAGCGAGACGTTACCTTTGAGTGTATTAAAAACACATTCACAGATACAACGAATTAATTTTTCGTCAGCGCTACGTAAGAAGATCGTGCGTTGATTTTTGTTCAAATGATAGAGCGCCGCGAGACAGGCGTTTCTCTTACTGATCGAATGTGTGGCGATTTTCGTCGCTCTGTGCGATTTCGCGTCACCCACCTTCATCACGAGAAAAATCTACGACTGATACACGCGATTAGCCGTACTCAACTTTTATCCGCTGGAAAACGATCTACGCGGCACGTAGGCGTAATGAAACGTATCCACTGGAAAAATACACGTTCGAAATCGATACTCGTCCGGAGTCAATTGTTTCAGATCGAGCAACAAATATCCGTGAGGCCTCGATGTGGCGTCGTAGTATGCCTCTCCTAGAAATTTCGGATCGTCGGGACAGACTTGACGCGCTAAATGACGAATATGAGCACGATCACGTGGACGAGAAAACGACGATGTAATTCGCGTTAAGCGATATATCGCACTGTCCACGCTCCTGGTGGAATAGGTCCTGCGAGATAAGAATAACACTGAGATTCTTGTGACGACTGTCTTTGGTAAAAAGATCCACGATCGCGTCGCACGACGATGATTCTCTCATAAGATCATCGATTATCACTAATTTTGGAGAAAGCGGATCGTTCGAGTAATCTTCCGGACGAGGTAATTCCTCGCGAAATTCAGTTATACGAGTTCTTCTTCTTCGCCGTTTTAGTATTGCTGCATCTCCAGGACTGTTCTTTTACACGCGTATCGTATTGTAATCGACGATAGGCTTCTTGCCATTCCGCGTAATAAAACAAAATTCTCTCGAAGCATACGTCGGACATGAGAGATACATGTCTGAGAAAAGCCTTCACGAAGTCTTCCCACAACCAGTCGGTCCGCATACGATTGACGTCCAAGGATGTTTCCAACGTACGTCCATTTTACGAAATGAGCAAACGATCTTCGTGCGCAACTTCAAAAGCAAAAAGAAAAAACGTCATTTTCATTGCTTTCTAGAACGCATGAAAAAAATAATTTTAAGAGAAGATAAGCTGATCAACGCAACGATAGGGCCCCCTTCGCGCGGCGGGTGAGTGCTCGTGCCAGCGTACCCCGCGTGAGCTTGTCAGCGAAGAGCACCGCGGCTGGCGAAAAGCTGATCTCACCGCGGCGCGACGCGCATAAGCTTATCTTCGCGCGCGTCAAACAGATTTGCGATCGGCGTATATTTCTATCGTTAAATGAGTACGCGACATCGTCGTCGATAAGCTTACCAATGCCTCTACCGCGATGTCGCTGCGAGGGAAAACTTTTCGTTGAAATCGGAAAGGTTGGTTAGAATTAAGAATAAATTATTTCTTGTTTTCCTTCAAGTAAAAAAATATTTTTATTCGATACTTTTCTTTAAAAAAGAGGAAAGGAGAAAAGGAAACATATGTAATTTAAAATTTTTTTGTTTATATTTTTGCTAGTTCTTATAAAATTATCTTACATAAAATTCAATTATTTTTAGAAACAATATAATACATTTTTATTATAATTAAATATTTACATTTTTATATTTTTACATTTTTACATTAAATTATTTGATATATTTTTA